TAGTGCATAGTGTATAGCAGTGTAGTGTATAGTAGTGTATAGTAGTGTAGTATATAGTGTAGTGTATAGTAGTGTTGAGTGAAGAGAAGAGCCCCTCTTAACGACCACCCCTGTTAACGACTAATCGATTAACGACGGGCCTCCATTTCGCCCAAATGTGTAGTGTATAGTGTAGTGTATAGTAGTGTAGTGTATAGTAATGTAGTGTATAGTGTATAGTAGTGTATAGTGTAGAGTAGAACCCCTCTTAACAAGCAACCTTGTTAATGATTAATCGTTTAACGACGGGCCTCCACAGAGCCCCATGTGTTCGCTTACCGACCATTTCCCTGTTAACGACGGGCGGTATGTAGGTACAATAAATATTAATTAATGCATTGAATAACCGTGCTTATTTTAATATCACGTTTATAATATTGTCAATATCTTTGTGTGTTAATATCCATTGTTTAAATATGATCAAGTACGTGTTTTGGGTGAAAAGGGTTGTAATTTTCGATGCTATCGCAACGAATTAAGCCTTTAACGTGTATCACCTCCTATAATCACCCAGAAATGTCTGTCCGTCCCGCGCGTGACGTCACTCCACATGAGGTTCACCCCCCGCGTGACGTCACTCCACATGAGGCCCACCCTCCCCACCTCCATTAATATTCATGTCCGCGTGGAAATTTCCACTAACGCACAAGAAGGTAGCGCACTCCACATGCCGCACCCCTCCCCTCATTAATAATCATGAGCGGGTGACGTCACTCCACATGCTGCACCCCTCCACAAGAACCATGAGAGGGTGACGTCACTCCACATGCCGCACCCCTCCACAATAACCATTAGCGGGTGACGTCATTCCACATGGGGCAACCCCCTCCCCCCTCATTAATAATCATGAGCTGAACAATTTTTCTTTTGAATATTTCGGATTTACTGCAATATACGCCCGTCCTTAGGGGCCGTACATAAATGACGTCACGCACCTTGGGGGGGGGGGGGGTCAGACATTTGTGACAATGTGTGACGAGGGGGGGGGGGGGTGAGAAAGGATGACGTCACATCAAAATGCGCAACTTGCAATAAATATAGACAACACGTTCTACTTAATTAAATAGACTTTTGGATGTTTTCTCCTACAACATCAGAGTGCAGCGGCACATTAAATACACACTACAATGACAATAGTTTAAAGCGATTTGAAGCATGTTTTATTTGGGGGGAGGGGGGGGGCAGAGCTTTGTGATGTCATATTTGAGGAGGGGTCTGACTTTTTGTGACGCCGCGTGACAAGGGGGGGGGGGGGGTGAAAAATCGTCTAAAATCGCGTGACGTCATTTATGGACGGCCCCCAATATAGTTTCCATGGCTTTGCCCTGCCCAAGCCAAATATAAATTTTCGATCATTTCATGGCCAGGTCGCTTTTGAAAAACAAGGCAATGCCTCAATGGGCTTTTACTGGCAAGACAAAAAATATATAGTTTAGTTTTATTTGTGTGTATATTGGAAGTGATTTATTTATCCTTCCTATTCGTTGCACTCCTATCGTGTCTTTGCATTGTTTATTCTTGCGACGTTCTGACCCGCCCCTCCATTGGACATCTGTGAAAAAGAGCTTCATAGCTCATAGGATTTCTCCAGTATACATATGTTGACTTTAATCCCAAACCGTCTTATGTGATCCAATCCACGTGTACTCTCTTTCTGTCTCAGTGTAATGTCAAGCACGCATCTCTCTCTCTCTCTGTGCTTTTGTGCAATAAACACATTCCTGCGGAGGGAGCTGGTAGGAACGTTGGATTGCTCGGTCAATGGCCTGCAGGGTCAACGGCGGCGTGGTGTATTCCGCAAATATGCCCGACTGTGAGGGCGGGCACAAGCCGGCGTGAGTAGGTTAAACGTTGAGTTTTATAAGGGCACCACGGGGTGACCAGCCCCTCCCCACCCAGCCCCTCCCCACCCAGCCCCATCCCTCCCACACCCACCCAGCCCCACCCCTCCCACCCAGCCCCTCCCCACCCTCCCCACTCAGCCCCTCCCCACCCAGCCCCTCCCCACCCTCCCCTCCCCACCCAGCCCCACCCCTCCCACCCCCACCCAGCCCACCCTCCCTACCCAGCCCTCCACTAGAAATTACACCACTAGAAACGCATACATTTGATACGTAGAGTGTGTGCAAAAAATTACAATTCACAGATGTTTTCTCGCTTATTTTAACTATTTACATCCCAGTGGTGGAAATTCCTCGTTCCTATGACGGGTACCAGTATGGGGGGGGGGGGGGGGGGCGGAAGCCTTCATCCAGCAGTGGATTATTCATGGCTGATTATGAGAAGGTGCGTAGTGCAAGTGTATGTTGGACAGACAAATAATAAGATCGCACGCACACACGTTTCACAAGAGAGGTTTAATGCGAGTTGTTCTTTACGACTGTCAAACTTGTAAACTTTTGAGCGTTTATCATAATTGCAATAAGTACGGTGCGTTTCCTTCCTTCAAAAACATCAGATTAAAACTAGAGTACACTCCCCTCTACATAATCACTGCGTGACGACGGCCAACCCACCAAATCACTCCTCTCCCCTTCCAACCGACTCAACGGACGTGTCATCGGACATGCTGTTGAAGTAAACTTCAATATCCAGAATAATTAAAGGGAAATTTGTGAATATGTGTGTCTGAAATGTTTAGCATACTTCCTAACATGCAAGCAACTTGAGATTTGGCATGTGGGTAGTTTCCAGACTCTACACAATGCAAAAAGTATAAAAAATGACTTTTGTATTTAGGGGAAGGGGGGGGCGAAATAATGGTTATAATATATTGCACGGCAAGTGAGCGGTGACGTCACACATCTGTGACGTCACATCTGTGATGTCACCGCACGCGGTAGCGTTACGCAGTGTGTCTGCTGACGTGTCGTTAAACCCGCCTCCCACCCGACACAGCCAACGAGTAAGGTTTGTCGCGTGAACTAAACGTGCCAATTCGTTACTTCAGCACACCGGTGCGTTTGGAGAGTAAACCCAGAACGTTTACAATTCGAGTTCGACGTTTCGGCGGTGATTACAACAACCAGCTTCATCAGGCGATGAGCCGGAATTGTGAAGAAGTCCTCCTGCTTCGATCTTAAATTAGAGCAAAAAAGGTAACATTAAAAAAACCTTTTTTTAAACACTCTTTAATGAAATGTACCGTACTAGTAATGGAAGAACTCCACGACTCCAGGAAGTGGCCCCGAAGCTTGCCACAACGTAAGGGACCGTGGGCAATTACAGCCAACGTCAGTTTACCGTGGACAATTAGAGCCAAGCCGAAACATAACATATAAAAAATAATGTTTAAAATATATATTTATGTTTTTTTTTATTTTTTATGATATAATATAGTATTGTCATCAGTATGACATAAGTATACCAAGTTTTCAGTCGATACCACATTGGGAAGTGGGTTAAAATTGAGTTACAAGATTTGAGGATACGACAACAACAGACAGAATGAGTTAAATAAAAGCGTGTAATTAAAAAGTAATGTCATCAGTGTAAGTTTAACCACCGCGTAATAGATGATGGCGGTGGTGGCATCTACATCTGCAGAACATAAAGGACCAGTGCCATCTATATCTGCAAGACACGAAAAACCAGTGGCATCAACATCTACATATTATACAACCTTAAACGCCATTCCCCGTGTTTTGTGTACATGCCGTACAACCTGTTTGGAATCGACAAAGTTGGACTTACGAAGAAATCGACTTGCGAACAGACCTCTGTAACCTACTCTTAGGTTTTTTCGGTAAAGTCACGTAGAAAATAAATAAATAATAAAAATTTATAATAATAAATAATATATATTTTTTTTAGAAATAAAATAACCTAACTCGTCCGTAGGTCGATGAGTCTTTGCATCAAGTCATTGGGACGTTTCGTTTCTGTGACAAACCTTACTGGTTGGCTGTGCCGGGTGGGTGGCAGGTTTAACAACACATTTTTATTTACGCAAACACCCCCCCCCCCCCGAAATAAAACCTTTTTTATCGATAATATTGATCGTGAACGCCTTACTACCACTACCTTAGCACGTGATAAACAGGTGAATGAAAAGTAACCTTAACCAAGATGGCCGTCCCTGTGCTGGGGGCGGGGGGTGGGGGCTTTGGGGGGGGGGTTGGAAGATGGTTAGAGGGTGGTGGGGGTGGGGTGGGGGTTTGGGGGGGTGGGGTGGTTGGGGTTTGGGGGGGTGGTGTGGCGGTTTGGGGGGGTGGGGTGGTTGGGGTTTGGGGGGGGTGGTGTGGGGGTTTGGGGGGTGGGGTGGGGGGGGTATGGGGGGGTGGGGGTTTGAGGGGGTAGGGGTTTGGGGGGTGAGGTGGGGGTTTGGGGGGGTGGGGTGGGGGGGTTTGGGGGGGTGGAGTGAGGGTTTTGGGCGGGTTGGAGGATGGTTAGAGGGTGGGGTGGGGGTTTGGTGGGGTGGGGGTTTGGGGGGTGAGGTGGGGGTTTGGGGGGGTGAGGTTGGGGTTTGGGGGAGTGAGGTGGGGGTTTGGGGGGGTGAGGTGGGGGTTTGGGGGGGTGGGGTGGAGGTTTGGGGGAGGTGAGGTGGGGGTTTGGGGGAGTGGGGGGGGTGAGGTGGGGGTTTGGGGGGGTGAGGTGGTGGTTTGGGGGGGAAGTGGGAGGGGGATGGGGGGTGAGGTGGGGGTTTGGGGGGGAAGTGGGAGGGGGATGGGGGGTGAGGTGGGGGTTTGGGGGAGTGGGGGGGTGAGGTGGGGGTTTGGGGGAGTGGGGGGGTGAGGTGGGGGGGGGAGTGGGGGGGGTGGGGGTTTGGGGGGGTGAGGTGGGGGTTTGGGGGATAAGGTTGGGGTTTGGGGGGGAAGTGGGAGGGGGATGGGGGAGTGAGGTGGGGGTTTGGGGGAGTGGGAGGGGTGAGGAGGGGGTTTCGGGGGAGTGGGGAGTGGGGGAGGTGTTGGAGGGGTGGGGGGCGTCCTCGGCCCCCGGAGCTCTTCCGGGTTTGCGCGAACCGAACCGAACGAGGCCGCGGTTTCGTGTCCACGGGTTCGCGTCCCAGTCTCGGCGTTTATATTTTATTCTTAAACGTTATTATTTTCTTCAACAATGAAATCGATTAATCATTACAATTAATCGTCGTCGTCGTCACCGCCTTTAATAATTAGTTTAGGAGGGTTTTTTTGCGCGTTTGTTTATCCGTAAAAGGGTTGGTGGTGGTGGAGTTGTTTTCGTTTGTTGAGGCGCGTATCTGAGGCCGCGCTGATGGTTGACGCCTCCCGCCTAGGCCCGACTTGAGGTGAGTTCACCCACCACGAGCGTTCCAAACAATGCAATGTTTTATATATTTTTTATCGCTATTAATCTACGATTAATAAGCAATTGACGTCCGTTAGCGCTTTGCCGTGTCTTTAAGGAGCTGCGATGTGGTCAATGTGTGTGCGCGTTCGCCTTGAGAGAAACCCACGGCGCGCTGTTTCACGTTACGGTATTCGCCTTATAACTATGGCAGTGCTGTTATTATCCGCGTGCGAATAGTCGCGTTAAGTTCGCGACGGTACTTGTGTTAAACGCAAGTGATAGAATGTGGTCTTAGCCCCTCTAATGTTTGATGTGTACAGTGCCGTGTGGGGAGCGGTGGTGCAGCGGTTAGCGCGCCGCGCTACGAACCCGGCGAACCGTGGTTCGATTCCCACTCACGATCATCTGAACCGGTCCTAGACCTCTAATGAGTACCCCCTCGGTGTGTAAACATCGCCACTGGGGAGACAAAGGCGGCCGGGCGTGGTGCTGGCCACCCCACCACCACCCCCTCGTGTGCCGTGCCGGGCTTCGTAGATATTCAGTAACAGCACTTATGATGATAAACAACACTTGGCCATACAGTGTGTTACAGGCTACACGTGGGGACTTCTTGTCTGTTGTTTGTCGATGTGTATAGAGTGTTTACGTGCACGCTGCGTACGTTGCGTGCGTATCATCTCGTGTGTAAACATCGGCACTAGGGAGACGATGCTGACCACCCACCCACCACATCGTGTTGTTGACCTTCTTAGGTTCTCGCTAACAGCGCTTGCCCCAATAGTCTGTTCAAGATAAATGTTTATTTGTCTTTATATATATATATATATGAATCGACGCATATAACGCACACGTACATTTGTAGCTTTGTGTATATGTGGCCTGCATAGGAGCTCTCTAACAACGCCTTACCCCGAGTCTGTTAGTACTGTGTAGGGGTGTTTATCTTGCATGTGTGTGTATGCGGGTATACATTTGCTTAACCTTAACATGTACTAGGTAACAGCATTTGCCATGGCCTACAAGACTCTAATCGGGGTATAGATATTCAGTAACAGCACTTGCCATGGCCTACAAGACTCTAATCGGAGTATAGATATTCAGTAACAGCACTTGCCCCGGCCTACAAGACTCTAATCGGGGTATAGATATTCAGTAACAGCACTTGCCATGGCCTACAAGACTCTAATCTGGGTATAGATATTCAGTAATAGCACTTGCCCCAGCCTACAAGACTATACTCGGGTTATAGATATTCAGTAACAGCACTTGTCATGGCCTACAGGACTTGAATCGGGTTATAGATATTCAGTAACAACACTTGCCCCGGCCTACAAGACTCTAATCGGGGTATAGATATTCAGTAACAGCACTTGCCATGGCCTACAAGACTTTAATCGGGTTATAGATATTCAGTAACAGCACTTGCCCCGGCCTACAAGACTCTAATCGGGGTATAGATATTCAGTAACAACACTTGCCCCGGCCTACAAGACTCTAATCGGGGTATAGATATTCAGTAACAGCACTTGCCCCGGCCTACAAGACTCTAATCGGGGTATAGATATTCAGTAACAGCACTTGCCATGGCCTACAAGACTCTAATCGGGTTATAGATATTCAGTAACAGCACTTGCCATGGCCTGCAATACTCTAATTGGGGTATAGATATTCAGTAACAGCACTTGCCTCGGCCTACAAGGCTATAATCGGGTTATAGATATTCAGTAACAGCACTTGCTATAGCCTACAAGACTCTAATCGGTTTATAGATATTCAGTAACAGCACTTGCCATTGCCTACAAGACTCTAATCGGGGTATAGATATTCAGTAACAGCACTTGCCATGGCCTACAAGACTCTATTCGGGGTATAGATATTCAGTAACAGTACTTGCCATGGCCTACAAGATTCTAATCGGGGTATAGATATTCAGTAACAGCACTTGCCATGGCCTACAGGACTCTAATCGGGTTATAGATATTCAGTAACAGCACTTGCCATGGCCTACAGGACTCTAATCGAGTTATAGATATTCAGTAACAGCACTTGCCATGGCCTACAGGACTCTAATCGGGTTATAGATATTCAGTAACATCACTTGCTATGGCCTACAAGACTCTAATCGGGGTATAGATATTCAGTAACAGCACTTGCCATGGCCTACAAGACTCTAATCGGGGTATAGATATTCAGTAACAGCACTTGCCATAGCCTACAATACTCTAATCGGGTTATAGATATTCAGTAACAGCACTTGCCATGGCCTACAAGACTCTAATCGGGTTATAGATATTCAGTAACAGCACTTGCTATGGACTACAAGACTCTAATCGGGTGATAGAGATTCAGTAACAGCACTTGCTATGGACTACAAGACTCTAATCGGGTGATAGATATTTAGTAACAGCACTTTCCATGGCCTACAAGCCTCTAATCGGTTATAGATATTCAGTAACAGCACTTGCCCCGGCCTACAAGACTCTAATCGGGTGATAGATATTCAGTAACAGCACTTGCCATGGCCTACAAGACTCTAATCGAGTTATAGATATTCAGTAACAGCACTTGCCATGGCCTACGAGACTCTAATCGGGTTATAGATATTCAGTAACAGCACTTGCCATGGCCTACAAGACTCTAATCGGTTATAGATATTCAGTAACAGCACTTGCCATGGCCTACAAGACTCTAATCGGGTTATAGATATTCATTAACAGCACTTGCCATGGCCTACGAGACTCTAATCGGGTTATATATATTCAGTAACAGCACTTGCCCCGGCCGACAAGGCTATAATCGGGTGATAGATATCACTGTTCCACATTTTTTTTGTTCCTGGGTTGTAAGTGTTATTTACTAATTGCTTATATCTCAAAAGTACAGAACATGGCTATTGTTCCCCACAAACTTTGCTTTTGTGAGCAGGACGCAAAAGCAAAGTTAATAATTAACTCCATTAATAACGCTGTGTAACAAATTAATGTATTTTTTGTTTCTGTGTAGCAAGTGTTATTTCCTTATTGCGTATGCCTCAAAGGTACAGAACGTGGCTATTATTCCCCACAAACTTTGCTTTTGTGACCAGGACAGTGATATTTTGAAATTTACCTATTTTTCAATGAGATAACGTGGTGTGCATTTGTGTCATTCCTTCACGTAAAGTCCTAGTCACAAAAGCAAAGTTTGTGGGGAATAATAGCCATTTTATATTCTTTAGAGGCATAAGCGATTCGAAAATAGCACTTACTACCCAGGAACAAAAAGAGTTTTTACATAATGCATTCAGTAACAGTACTTCCCATGGCCTACAAGGCTATAATCGTGGGATAGATACTCTGTAACAGAACTTCCCATGGCCATAAAGGCTGTAATCGGTGGGATAAATACTCCGTAACAGCACTTGTCCTGCCATTCACGGCTATAAACGGTGAATAGGTCGGTAACAACACTTGATTTGGCCTACAAAGCTTCAAACGGGAGATATTACTAGTCTTTGCACCGTGTATTATATTCACGGCTACAGTTTTTTTAAAACTTGCATACGTTGCTTTATTGAAATATGTGAGTGCGGATATGTTAGTGTCTATATGTGTCGTGTGCGTGCATTCTGTTGATAATGATTTAGAGATCCTTTGTCAAACCATTGGTCAAAGAACGACTTCCCCATACCATGCCGCTCGTGGGAGATTGTTTGACCATACTTCGCTAGGCTGGTCCCATGCATGACCGGTTCATCTATCACTCCCTACTGACGTTGAGCCGTGGTTGGGAATTGAACTCACGTTGGCGTTAGTCACAACCCCATTGCCTCGGCTCCACCATTTCCCGTACGGTGCAAACGAAGCTCAACATACATACCATCGTATGCAAAAAGTTTATTTATTTATGTTGATGTTCATGAAATATCATTCACGTTCAAAGTGTAGATGTTTTTCCAAACCCGTGAGGGTCCTCTTCTAGGTCGACTCGGCCTAAAATGAGCACCAGGGAGACAAAGTGGGTCAGGCTTAGGTGGTGATGGCCTCACGAGCCCCTGCACATTAAGTCTGTGGCTTACCACCACCCCTCAATAGGTGCTCACTAACAACACTTGCTCTAATAGACTGCTATTCAGGCTCAGCTGCTGTTTGTGTTGCGTACACGATCTTTTAATTACACACGTGCATGTTGATGTTCAGCACATAAAAACTTCGTGTGTGTTGTTCATGATAGAGTGTTTGTGTTATGTAACTTTGTACATGGGTAAGTGTGTGATATGTGTGTTGGGAACGGTGGTATGTAGTGGTCAAAGCTGGTACCTCGGTAGGTTTTTTGGCCATTTGCACAACTGAACAGAAACTTTCTGTATACTAGGGGACACCTCATTTGAGAACTTCAAGTGTCTTTCCCATGAGAGATCTGAATAACGAAAGAAAACCGGCACATTACATCATTTGGTAGCCCATTCTAGATTTGAAGTTTTCGTGACTGCAAAGATCCATACTCTTTGGTTTTTTCGGTAAAGTCACGTAGGTAGAAAATATGAAACCAATTAAAACGAAAAACAAATAAATTAAATCACGACGTTTCGTAAGCAACACAATTAACCGTCATCAGGTGTCGACTGCTCCAGCAAAATTACTTAGGCGTATGAAGAGAATTATTAAGAGACAGTGTTTTTTTCATTTTAATTCATTTTATATTTTTTACCTACGTGACATTACCGAAAAAAACCAAAGAGAATTGGTAGCCCCTTTGTAAATCCACTGCTTGGTGAACTTCTTCCCCAAGCCGTGCCGGTCTTATGGATGCTCTTTGGCCATACTTCATGCTTGGTCACTGTAGGTTGGTGGCTAAGATGGGGGGGGAGCATAGACATAGAAGCACTGTACAGTACAACAGTTAACATTGCTGCAGTATGGTTTGCTGCATACCACATCGTCCCACAACCTGCTGTGTGTGATGGCCACCTATTGTCCAAGTGCTTTCCAGACTCTTCAGCTTATCTTCTGAGAA